CGCCCCACCCACTAGGATAGTGATGGTGAACCTATGACACGCGTGTCAGAGGTGACACACGAACTCATTTTTTTTGGTTGATTTTTCTTTGTTAAATGGCATTTAAATATATAAAATAAATATCAAAAATATAAGTCTTTGTTTTACTATGGTTGCAAATATCAAAAAATTTCTATATGTGACACGGCACCAGAGTTAAGTTAGGGTTTTTCAAAATGCTGACACGCCGAGCTCAAAAGGTTCGCCATCACTGCTCCAGATCCACCCATGCTATTGCAAAGTTTAAGAGTTCCTTCTTTTTTACAACCGTGTAGTAGTCATGGTGTAAATGTACTGCAGCTTTTTTTATCCACTCATCTACTGATGGCGCTGATGGGACTTTTTCCAGATCTTGGCTATTCCCCACCCTTTTGCTGGAGTAGAAGAACGGTTGACAGCCACCTATTTACAGTGTACGACAGGGCAAATGGAAGCCAAACTTGAATTTATCTATGCAGTATTATGGATAATTGAGAATTGGTTGCATTCCCCCCATATGTCATCTTCAGTTATAAATACTACCAGATTAGATTGAGAGATCTCTCTCAAGAGGTCAAAAATGTCTTTCTCAAAGCGCTTAGGAGCCATAAGTTTGTGAAAAAGCAGAAAAGGCACCTTTCCTGCAGACCACTGAGGGCCCATGATTTTATTTATTCAGTACACTTTTTGAGTGCCTACCATGTAGCAGACACTGCTGGGCGGTAAGATTTTAGCACAGTTCCCTGTAGATGATGGGAGATCAGTACCTGCATGACACTGTAATGATAGCTGTCAAGCAACCACTTAAGACAAAAAGACCTCTGCATAATGAAGTGAATTCTGAGGGACCTAAAGCTGAACTAAACCATAATGCTTACAACTTCTCTCTTGTGTAATACTTCATCTCTTTTAGAAAAAATAATCTAAAACTGTTCAGCAAAAAAGGATGATGGGTTTTAGGATTCTGCTTGTGAAATTTAACAAAAGCAAGAGCCAACTTAATGGAAGAGACATTGCTTGCTTTATTTTTTTTTAAGGAGAGAAAGCTTTCATTCTTAGTGTTGCAAAGCCTAATTTTCTTGTTAACTTAGATTTACAGTCAAGATTAAAGTTTCCTGATAGATACCTATCTGGACACTTCTGAGACCAGATAGGTATCTATTTGAGGTTCTTAGTCCAGACCTTCCTTCTAATGTTGATTTTCACCCTTTGACAAAGAGTTGAGTGCCACAGTTACTCACGTTGCTGCCATGAGGGAGTGCCCTTGCACTACTGTCAATACTAAATAAGTTCTCTGAGGTTTTGTCAGCTAATTTTCCTCAAGCAGATCATATTTTTCTCTCTTTTTTTTTTTACCTCCTGCACTATGTATTCATTTATAGAACTTCAGATTTATATTTTATTACATGTGAGGACTTTTCTTAGTTTCTTTTTTTTTTTTTAATGTCTTTTATTGATTTTCCACAGAGAGGAAGGGAGAGAGACAGAGAGTTAGAAACATCGATGAGAGAGAGACATCGATCAGCTGCCTCTTGCACATCCCCCACTGGGGACGTGCCCGCAACCCAGGCACATGCCCTTGACCGGAATCGAACCTGGGACCCCCCAGTCCACAGGCCGACGCTCTATCCACTGAGCCAAACCGGTTTCGGCATAGTTTCTTGCTAAATTGTAAAATCTCTTGGAGTTAAGGGTTACACCCTTTTACAGTTGTCCCTTGAATAAGACGGGTTTGAACTGTGGCAGTCCACTCAGACCATGCACATGTATTTTCTGATAAGCAAACTGCGATTGAGAAATTGTAAATGAAGCATTATTTAATACCTCAGAACCTTCCAACCCCCCTGTCACCTTTCCTCGCATAGCTCCCATGTTCTGCCTACTGAGCCTTCCTTTCCCCATTCTGCATCTGGCTCCTTCAGTTCTCCTTCCCTGCTGATTGGTCCTTTACCCCCCGGACCCCTTTCCACTGTGCTCTGCCCAGGGCTTTTGCCCAGCCGTCATAAAGCTGTGGCCCATCATTATTTTAAATTGTGCTTCAAATGATTATGAATTTATTTAATGGTAAAGTGTAAATACTTAATTTGATGTAGTCAATTTTTTTTTAAAGTTTAAAAGACAATACAAACACCTGTTAAGGGACTGTGGCACTTAGGGTTTTCTGGGGTGGGTTTTCTAAGATTAGATCCTTACACAGGAGTACACTGGCTTTTCAGGGTGGAAGAGTATAAACTTTACTGACTTATATTTCATGAAATAGCATTATTTTAGTATCTTTTTTTATGGAATGTATGTTTTTTTAGAAATGATTTTTAGAATGTGTTTTTTAAGTAGGTTGGCAGTATATGACCTAACCTTTCAATACATAGAACTCTTTATTTTTGATTATTTAATAAGGGAATGTCCTTATTTGAGATTCTACTGTACCTCAGTAACTTTGCATCCTGCTTTATTTAACTAAATTTTTGGTAGTTCTGTAATTCAGTAGATATTTATTAGTTATTCCCCTCTTGATGGCCTGAAATATGCTCACATATCTAAAGCACTTAGCGAATTGCCTTATACAGAGTAAACACTATCTTGTTTACACATTTGGTATCATTATTATAATGATTAAGGGTTAAGGTTTTCTAGTAATTAAAAGTTTTATCCAGATGTCCAAACAGGAGATGTAGCTATAGTCTCCATATTTATTACCGTTCTTGCCAGGTTGATCATTGTCATTTATTGAAAGGACTGATTTTGGAGGCAGGGGTATAGGAGGATTCAGAACTAGTTGACATGAGTATTTGAAGGAGAGCACTTCTGAAATTTTTTTTGAAGGAAACATGAGTTTTGAATGCATTATTCTAATAAAAAGCTAAATATGTGACATTTGAATCTTTCTTAATCCAAAATTGGCTGGCTATATAGAATGAATTATAATTTTCATATTCTAAAATGTGAGGCAAAGTAAAGCTTCCTAACCTTTGTTGTATTGCTTAATTTCAGGAATGTATCCCCTTCACCTGCTTTAAAGTGCTAATTGGAAACAAATATATTTAAATACATGTAACAATTCTTCGAGGATTCTACCGCATTCATTACAATTTTTTTTTAATCACAAAAATATTTATACTCAAGTAGCATCTATATAATAGCAGATTTAAAAAATGCTAAATAGTACAGCCCTGCTTGCAACACTAACAGGTCATCTGGTCTGAGCAGCCAGTGGCACAGGTATCCTGAGTGTATCGAGCTGCCCTCATTACAATTTTTAAAGCATGATGCAGTCACGAGGCTGGGGTCAGTAATCACTAGAATGAAGAAGTGTTGGTACATCAACAAGCTTAGTTGCTTTTTCCACTAAAATTAGAGTCATCCTTCTCTC